AAAAAACAACCCAATTAGCTAACAGCAGCTAACAAGCTCTGTAGACTTGCTGGTGATTCTCTCTGGTTTTGTCAGTACAATCAACACTTTTCACATCACACATAGTCATTTGATCCATGGCTCATATTGTTTCATTTTATATGAATGAACCCTGGTTCCCTGGCTCAGAATATACTGATCACTGCAGTTTAAACACATTACTGGCACCTTTAGATTTACAGAAATGAGTGTAACTGTATCGTCATACACCTAAATCAGTCGACCTCCAGCTCACCCGCAGCGTATTAAATGTACTGGTGTAAATGGCTGAATTAAGCACTTGACACTTGATCCGGAGAAGCTGCTGTATTTCACCGTCCACCCCCGCCTCCTTTTCTCCAGTGATACCCTCACGAGACCCCTCTCAGTTCTAAGGTTAAAGGTCACCTTGAGAGAGGGGGAGAGGGTGACGGTGACAGTGTGTGCCCGTGGGGGNGGGGCTGAGGAGGGGAGGGGGGTAATTCTATGGGGACATTGGAGGAAGAACAAAGAGCGAGTCATGTGAGTCGAGGTGAAGCCTCCTCTTTCTTTTGTGCGCCACATGGACACGAGCATCTGCGGCGGAGGGCCCAAACAGAGACGCACGCCACATGAGGACAATGCAGACACACTGTTGTTTTCGGTGCGTGTGTGGTTTATGCGGCCCTAAATGGCCCCCATTCATTGGATCTCTCTGAAGCTGGCTGGGTCTGGAGAGAGGACCTGCCCCACTAATTACCATCAGTCATTGCTCTGGTTTGTTCAGCTCTGCGGAGACCATTGTTGTCCTGCACCAGTACAGGAAGTCTCCAGCTACACTGACAGTGTTGCTGATGGTTAAAAGGTTGCTTGGAAAGGACAAATGAGAGCAAACTGGAAGTAAACAGCACAAACAACAGTTTTTAGGCACGCTGGGAGCCTCAAGAGCCACAGTTCATCAGATTTTGATTGTGTAGTGTGCATGCCATTCATCTGAAGCCTCAGAAATATTAGCTACACACAGTACAGAGAAGGGAGAAGAAGCCATTGTGATGAAAATAACTTGACCCCTGTCTTGACATGAAAGAGAAGATCATCAGAACATTCATTTTGCTCTGTTATTTCATGTTATTTTATCCATTATCAACTCATGGAGGTTTTGTTGTCTTGGATAAATAATTATTATTACAGTGCGGTGTGGCTTTTTTACTGTTTCCAACACAAATCATCTTGTTTAAAGAATGTATTAAAAATGACAGTATCTTGGGAAAAGACAAACTGCATGTATCATAAAAAGACTCTCTGTTCATGAACTCTGATAAATGTTTACAATAGATGGCTTGGGTCATAATTCTGCAGTTTGCCTTTGTCAAATCATCCAACTTGGTCAACAAATCCTACAACCTAAAGAACCATATAGGCTATGTCTTCTCTAAGATACGACCCATAGGAGCAGACCAGTGAAAGGCAAACTATGCTTTTGTTATTGTGACAAGAATACAATCCATAGATGCTTACAACCATCAGGCATACTGGACCTGTGTTGTCATGGTAAGAATAATAAACATTTAAACATTGCTTGACAGTTTGGTTATGGGTTTAAGAAAAGATTGTGGTTTGGTTAAAGTAAGCGTTTTCTACAGAGAAGAGGACCTATGTCTGTAAGTACTCTTGCCTAACAACACAACATTAATATGGGTTGCAATAAACCTCTTGCACAGGTGACCTATGTTTCAAAACCCCCAAACATCAGCCAGGTTTGAACAGTCTGACAGGCTGTATTGCCTTGATATCCTGCCCCTGGCAATGACTAACTTGCCTGCCTCAGACAGACACCGCTGTGAAGGTTGATTTCTTCAGAAAGAAATATTGACCTCTGAACCTTTCCTCAGAATAAATCATTTGTTGTAAGACGTACAAAAAGGACCAAAGTTGTGAAAGAAACCTTGCCTGTAAATGTACTGATTACCTGCAAAATTCATTTGTACAAACCAGATGAGTGTGGGAGGAAATCCCAGAGAGCAACATGCAGGAACAGGAATAATCCCCAACCTTCTGTCTATGGCTTCTCTGCGTCAAACACTGAGACAACACAAGCAATTATTTTGCCAAAAGACATTACACAGAGTGCCAAATTACACAATGCCACAAAATTCCATACATATGCAGATAGTTAGGGGAGTAATGCGACATGATCACTCATCTGTTTGTTTCATTTAGCGTCTCATATAGCCTGGTTACACTTCAGTCTTGGTTGTGGTCCACAGGGGATCATCAAGTAGATTAAATCCTAATACAACCACATTTAGTTAAATTCTACTATCTCCCTTGGCTCTGGTGCACATATTGCTGGGAACTGTTGTCTCTGGAGAACCCACCCTCACATGTTACTCCTGTGGCAAATTTTAGTGGCCCATCTGTACTAGAGTTGTAGATGTAGCCAATTTGTAACTGAAAAAAAAAATATGGAAGAGACTCCTCTACATCTCATTCTCAAATATCCAACACAGAAGCTATTGAGGTGCAGGAGGCGCCTCCTGCATTGTTGTGGTGAGTATGTGGGGAATGATCAGGGCTACGATGGTGAGACCTCATCAAAAATGCCACATCAAATGCAACAATACAACAAGCAATATTTGATAATTGCCATTCACATCGACAGCAGTGTCAAGTTCCTGTTTGTGAGCCAAACTAGCATCAGGGAGCCAAGTGCCGACACACTTAAGCCGAGAGGAGACACACATAAACATGTCTATATCGTATCTAGGTTAGCTTTGTCTGGCCAATCTGCTCTGGTTTCTCTATCCTTAATCTCCTCCCCTGTCTTTACACAGTGGGAGGTAGAACACATAATACCATAGGATTTCCATTCCTTTGCACAGGGTGTAAACAATGAAACCGGTGTGCAAAAAAAAAAAGAAAGCATCGATAAAGGTGTTAAAAGAATGTATGTAAAGACAATTTGATCCTTTATTGATTTATACATGTTATATAGTGTGCATGACATCAAGTTTTTTTTCTATCCTAGTCTTTAGCCTCTTACTTGCAGTGATTGAACTCTATGATAAAAGAAGTTGTGTATGTAGTGTTAGCTATCAATGATCAATTATTGCTGTCTATTCCTTTATATACTCCACCTTTTGGGTTTGTATTGCGCTCAGGGAAATGGAAGCTAGTGCAGTTGCTGACGTTAGCACTCATTTGCACATGGTATTTTGTCATCTGGTGACTATTGGCAGTTAAAGGCGGGTGATCAACGGCCACTTATTTTAATATGCATATTATCATGCAATGATTCTAACTGTGAACTATATTCCAGATAAAGTACTTTTGAGAAAATTCAGACTTAAATCAGCCATATCTCTTTTACAAATTAAAAAACAGCAATGCATTAAAGACAATCTTAGAAGTGGTCATGTTTCATGTGTATGAAATCCCACAATGTTCACAGCTTTAAATTGAATGTGCCCTGTTTCTAG